GGCTATAAAACATGAATCATTAAAATGAAAGGTCTAAAATTGCCACCAAAGATAAGACTCCTATAATTTCAGCTATAACGACAACGTGCTGGAAGTTTAGCTGGAAGTTTATACCGTAAGTATATTAACACCGTAATCCTACGAAAAAGAAATGTGAATGGCTCATTTCGCATCGAAAATCTAACAATAAGTTTAAGTCAACCATCAGAGACGATTACTAGGGGCGAACGCTCGATACACTTTTTGGGCTTACTGTATTTCTAAGCGTACTCTAAAAATCCAGCTATTCTCTATTGATCTTAGGTAGCATTTATGACACATCCCAAAATTGCTTCTCTTAAAAAGAAAAAAGAATTTGCGCGCAGAAATTGCTAGGTCAGCAAAATAATGTAATTACGCGGCCGTCCCACTACTTAAATTCACTGTATTTCCTGCATTTACCACACATCCCTCTTAAAGTAAGAAGAATGTGGACAAGAAAAGAGAAAAAAACGAACATGCGCTAGCATTTTTACGGAAAACTCCACTAAATTGGTTGGAGGTAACATCTTTTTTATGTAATAAAAACTGAAATAACTAAAGAAAAGCAGAACAGGGAAAAAATTGGTAGGATGTGTCTACTGAAGAAATGGGCAACAAACCTGCAGGATCACAACCACAAGTAATGCAGTACAAAGTAACCAAGGTATAAAGTGTATAGTGCAGATATCGGTAAGTGCCTGTAAAAATCGAGGACTGAATCAGGGACACATTGTCTAAGAAAAAATCTTACCACTGACTCTGGTGAGATATCCTTTCGTGGTAGCTCAGCTGTAATAGAATTAGCACAGTCACCTTTTTCTTTCTGTAAAGTATTAGTTTTTATCCTGATTTAGCCAAGCGTCTTCAAACTCACAATCGTAGCTCTATAGCAGCAAATGACATCAGAGCTGATATTTGCTATCGGTCTCGCATTGTCACGTTCGGCCTCAGCCCAGTCGCAAGTTATGACTAAATTGTTTACATTTTAAGTGCTATTTGACAGCAATCCACCATTCAAAGACTAACCTGAGCCACATTCCTTCATTTTGAGATGTTCCGGAGCACATAAAGGCATAGAAGCTTCCGGAATACTGATGTAGTCAGTACACTGATTTCTACAGTATACCGTCCGGATGATATCACCATAGCACATCGCAGTTACATAGATAAACGTGAATAATAGTAGTTTCATCTGTAAAAACAGTTACTAGTTTTCGGAAAAGTTTATACATCAGATACAAAGACGAAATCTTATAACTCGACCAAAGCTCAATCATCAAGCACAAAGTTCAAAGAGGTTTAATCCATTGCTCTTATATGTTAGTGACGCGACATTTAGAAAAATAGAAAAAGAAAGGAGATGATCAAGTGAAAAGACATCGTATGTATTCCTAAGAAGACGAAGCTTTTTACATGACAACCTTTGATTGTTTGCCACTCGGATTTGATTCTCCGATCTCTAAAGTGCAATCAGTCCAAACGCCATCTTATAGAGAACAAATGAGGGATTGAGTCTTGGGAAGATTACATATGTATGTCAACCCAAAACTCACCATATCTTTTCGTGTTGCTCCAAGAAACGACTTCTGTGAAGTGGTGAAATTGTCCCAAATACTAAGTGCAGTACGATTACGCTGAAGCATTAATTATGCTTTATATGGACAAATACGAGTAGAGCAGATATCCCGGTGAACGCTCCGGCGTTAAACAACCCAAAATCTCTTGATATGCATTCCCAATCAGCTGCGACAACTCGCCGGCGTAGTGTGAAGGAACCCTTAGGCTTGGGTGTCCAGTAAGGCAATGGGCGGAGCCTGGCAATGGGCGAAGTTCGGAAGACTTTCGAGACAAATTCTAGGCTTCCCAAGCCTGCTATTTGCTGAACTTCACTGTTCGCTTAGTCCGGAGGCCTACTATCGCAACGCAGTGAGATCTAGATACACTCCAGTT